GAAGCAAAAAAATATCCAATGAATAAGTCTTATAATATTAATATTAATATTTAATATAATATAATTATAATATATTATATAATTATAATATTATAATATATTATATATTATATATTATATAATTACAATATAATATTAATATTAATTCATGTTAACAAAAATCATTTTATATAAATGAAGTGCAAATTTTCATTTATAAATGTTCATTTAATAGTATCATTTAGAATTGAATATGATTAAAAAATGTTATTTTTAGTCATGTTTGTTTATTATTTAAATATAAAAATATATAAATATGCATTTTGTAATTTGTAACATTATTGCTTTACGAATAATTTTGATTTTGTTCGCGTTCATGAAATAATCTTTAATAATAAATATTAATAATATAATAATAATTGTATTAATAATATTATATAATATAATAATATATATATATATAATAATTGTATGTAAAACCGTGAATTAATCTCTCTGTTTACATTCAATAAAAATATTGCGAAAAAAATCACATCCATATCTAAAAATAAAAATTGATTTTACATCAAGGATTGATTGCAGAACTTATGTTAAACACTTTTTATTAATATATAATTATTTTTTTATTAATATGTAATTATAAATTTTTAAAATCCTTAAATTTTTTTAATAGTTTCTATAATATAACATAAAAAATATAATAATATATAGAAAATTATTCAAATATAATAGAAATATATAATAGAAAATATGTAATAGAATATGATAGAAAATTATTTTATATAATATATAATAGAAATTATAATTGTAATATTCTATATAATAGAAAATTATTCAAAATATTAATAATAATATATTACAAGATCATTGAAATTGTTTTATATTACAGTAGATAATTTGAATAGAATAAATCTGTTCGGATAAGCAATTCTTTGGATAATTTTGGAGAATATTAAGAAGATCTAAATTTGTCAATATATATTATCATAAAATAATTTTTAAATATAGAAAAATTTTTATCAAATTAAAAAGTCAATAACATATCTCATAGAAAATAAATTAATCATTTTTAGACATTAGATTTTGTATTAAAAAATATAAACATTATTAGATATACTAATTTCATAATATATATACTCATCTCATTTTCAGATAAATACTTGAATAATCAAACTTTAAATAATTGATATTTTATTGTATAATAATAAATATATTATAATAATTATCAAAAATTTATGTATATATAAATTAATTTAATAATAATATGAAACTATGATGTCAGAACAAATAAAATTAGCATTTAATATAAAAAAGCGATTTTCGTAATTTTCGTTTTTAATAGGATTCGACACAAGATGCAGTACCCCTTTCTGTAATGGCTCTTCTTATTCACTGCAAAGTCCACATAGTCCAGGTTCTTCAGAATGGTCTATACCATCTTCCAATGGTTCAACAAACAACTTGGCACCGATCTCATCCCCTTCAGGTCTGCGAAGCTCACTATCAATGTTCTTCTCGCTCACTGGCATCACGTCCGAACAACAGACACCGTAATTGTTGTTTCTTCTTACAAACATTTCGCGATTCTTAAACTCTCATCTTTGTCTTTTTACCTCTACACGATGTATAATAACATGAATTTTTTTTTTTGTTTTCATTGACAAGTAAATACTACTTACATTAGGATCACTCTTTTAAAACAAATGAATTTTGTGAATATTTTTTTATATTTAAATCATTATTTAATCCTTTCATCAAATCCTTTCAGCGGTAATTATTCATTATAATCGTATTTACATAACATAAATAAAATATATAAAATGTTATATACTAATATATTCATATAATAATATATACTAATATATTCATGAAACATTTTTGAAAAATTGATTCTAGAAACTAAAATAAATGCAAAAATTGGTATATAAAAATATCGAGATTTATTTATTAAATTTATATTAGATGAACTGAGATGAGAAGAAAATATGATGATAGTGTAACTGAGACAGAACGATTTCACATATCACTAGACAGATAAATCATTTCACTTTCTGTATGTTTTATTTTCTTTAACTAATTATATTTTAATTGATTATAAAAAACTTTAATTTGTTTATTTTGATTTATAGAATCTCTAAAGATTCTACAAATTATTATTATTATATATATATAAAGAATATTTTGAATATTTTATTGTTTTTTAATATTATTATTTTTTTCAAAATGTTTCAAAATTTTAATATTTTTTTTTTATCAATCTTAGAAAAAAAATAATAATAGTGATTAGAAAATTCTATCATTGTTTTTTATTTACATATTTATAATTTTATTTGAAAATTTTTAATAATTACACATATATATTTTATCGAAAGTTATAGAAAAAACATACTATAGTAAATAATTCAAAGTTGTTTTCGAAAATTATTTGGTATTATAATTTCTTTCTTTTTCTAAAAAAGAAACAATTTTCGAATCAATTTATTTCTTGGAAATATTAATTTAAATGCAATATATTGCATTTTAATTGTAAGGAAATAAAGTTAAAAAATTTTTGTTAAATTTTAATCTAGAAACTATTAACAAATCTAGAATAAATAATTTTTTTTAAAACAATTTTAAAAATAATTTATATTTTATTTTTTTCTAATATTATTTTATTATATATTTTTATCATATTAATAACTTTTATCGTTTATATATCAAATATTGTATATAATACAATATTATAATATAATACAATATTTAATATATATAATATTAATATTTAATATATATAATACGATTTAAAGTTAATAAAACAATGATCAATAATCATCAATAAATATTCTTAAAATTTATTAGCATAACATAAATAAAAAAAGTTGTTTACTACTGAAAGGATTGATGTACGATTATTAATACACTAAAAATTAATATGTACATATGTGTACAGCTTTTATGCATAAGTATTAATTATTTAAAATAATTATTTCTTTTTAAAATATTATTATTTGTATTAATAACAAATATATTTACTTATTGAAAATCGACAGAAGTGGAAAAGTGATTTATTTTGCAGCTTCGTTGAATCTAACGAGGTCTCCCGATTGATGTCTGCAGTTAGTTTCGGTTATGGGATTTATCAGTTATGTGTCAGTTTATTGCCATCTTCTCTTTTAAAAGTGATCCACTTTTTGGGCTTTGAAGGTGATAGAGAAGCAGGACTCACTGCATTGATGTATGCTCGACTTAGTGAAGATATGCGAGCTCCTCTTGCCTCGTAAGTTTCTTTGACTATTATTTTTCACAAAAGAAAATATTAGATATTAAATAATAATAATAATAATAATAACAACAATAATAATAATAATAACAATAATAATAACAACAACAATAATAATAATAACAATAACAATAACAATAACAATAACAATAATAATAACAATAACAATAATAATAATAACAACAACAACAACAACAACAACGACAACAACGACAACAACAACAACAACAATAACAATAACAACAATAATAACNTAATTTTTATATTTTTATATTATATTATTATAATAATTATTTGTTATTTGAAAAAATTATCTATATAGCACCTTATCGATATATTTTAAAAATAATGCAGCAATATCACAAACATATGAAAATCTTAAAAATGTTTCTTTATATCTTATGTTATGTTAAAATGTCTTGAAAGATTTAATTTAAAAAATTCATTATATTCACTTATTAAAAAAATATATTTTTATATTTCTTAAAAACATATTTCTATATTTCTTATTTTTATTTTTCATATTTGTATTTTTAATATTTTTTTTCTTTATACAACAATATAATAAATACATAAAAATAAAATTATAATTGACAATATGTTTCTTATATATCTTTGAAAAATAGATTATTTTAAAACAATATATTTGTTTTATTAATATTATTATAATTTTTTTATTTTAATTGCTAAAAAAATTTTAAAGTATTGTGATATTAAAAAATTTAAGTAATAATATTAATTATGACATTGTTCCTAAAAATAAAATAAAATTAAATAAAAAAAATATTTTTTTATTATATCAAATAGAGAATTTTTAATTCTAATAATTTTTCATACAATAACGTCATTGTAATTTATAGATTGACCTATTTTAAACGCTGCTAGTATAATTATGCATATGTTGCAATTTATCGAACAAAAGATTGCGAAATATAAGTACCAAATGAAAAAAAAAATGCCAAAAAAGGCATAATTACTTTAATCTAAAATACTATGAATCGATAAGTTAAAATTTCAAATTTATATAAATATGTTTCCAAATATTGATGTTTTCAAAAATATAGATTATAAATTTATAGATTATAAAATATATAGATTATAAATTTAATTTCAGATAATCTAATAAAATTTCTATTTTTTTTCATATCACATATATTTATAAATAATATTTTTAATAATATTTTAAATAATTTAATTTAATATTTTAAATAATATTTTTTAAATATTTTTTATTTTATTAATATTTTTATTTTAAAATTAAAATACAATATTAAAATTATTATAAAAATCAATTATTACGTATTGTGATTATATATTAAATGTTAGATATATATTATAATTATTCAAATTTAATCAAATAATATTATAATATTAAATAATTATAAATATTAAATTTAAAAAAAAATGATGAATTTGAGATATAATTTTGTTTTCTAATGTTACAAAATAATATGATTTTTATAAAATTTGACATTTGTTATATAACATATAATATATAAATATACGTTTAATTATAATTTTGTTAATTTATTTAATTTATTATTTTAGTTTTATAATTCTATATATCTAAAAATAATATTTCTATTTTAATATTAAAAACAAATTTTTATATAGACTAATATACAAAAGTTTAAGATATGAAATTTCTTTTAAATTCTTTTTTATCACATATATAACAAAAGAAATAAAAAAAATTAACAGTAATCTTAAAATCCAATATTCACAAAGCGGCTAAACTTTTTTTAGTGTAATTTTCTTTTATTTTTTTCAAAGTTATTAAAATAATTAATATAATTATAATAATAAATTAAAATTTCTAACTATTTTTTGTACTTTGTATTTTTTTATGTCACATAAAATGATTAATAAAATTTAATTCGAATATAATGAGAGCATTGATATATAATTATAAAATTTTT